ATATTCAGCAATGGGAGGTTCACTTAAAACAGGGGTGCCCAAAGTGCGGCCCTCCAAGGGCTTTTGTGCGGCCCGCGAGGAGTTTTGGAAAACAAATAAATTTTTTATGATGGTGTAAGTGAATGAACGATTTTAGTTCTACGGAATGAACGACTAGGTTTAAATTCTCTTGCGGGTAAGTACAGTCTATTCCCGGTCAAAATTCTCGGATATGGAATCATCCCGACACTTTCATCGGGTAAACATGAGGCGCATAGCTGGACTTCACATCCAGGTGCGATCTGTGAGGGCGAGAGAATACGCTGGACTGCCAGATTTTGCTGGAAATATGCGTTGCACGCATCATTCCAGAGAGCTTCTTTGCATTTTTTCACGCAAAAATATCTCTGATAAATTCATGCTGTCAGATTCCTCCCAATGGCCGCCAGATATTTTCCATTATTAATTTTTGCGTGATTCAAATGGATAAACCTGGAAAGTTGAAGCCTGACACGGACGTGCCTATTGAGACTGAGCTCAGGAAAAAATGTCAAGTTTCGGGTGTATGCTTCGGGATCACACTTTTGGATGATGATGTTTTCAAATAATGTTTTTGCCTGGAGAATTTCGGCAGAAATAGAACGGTGAAACTTGACACACAAACACCTGAGGTATTTACCTGAGGTAAAAACTTTTTAATTTTTTTATTTACTAAAATCAGTACTCAAAGAACTGTAGGCATACCAGGTTTCAACCATATCCGTTTGCTCTTTTTGCTGATGTAGAAATATCTTTGGAAAAGCCGAAACAGCCAAAAGCTCCGCCCTGGGGGTAAGCAACACAAAACTTGATTCTTTTAAAACTCACCATTGCCTCAGTTAGTGCTGTGCCAAGTTTCACATTTCTACCTCTGTACAATTCAGTGGACAAAAAAAAATTATTTGGAAAGGTTACACCCCCAAATTGGGTGCCCCATGTTGGGTGCACCATGTACCAACAAAGTCGGATTGTTTCTGAACTCTGTATCCCAAAAGTTACATGTGTACCAAGTTTCAGATTTCTACCTTATCTAGAACATGGTTAGAAATAGCGTCAGTCTGTCAGTCACTCAATCACGATCATCTACATATAGATAGATATTATATCTAATTTACTGATTTAAGGAACATAATATAGCTGCGAAATACAATGACGGAACATGAAGTATCCAAGGCAAGTTAAGTGCAAGCGGGAATCGAAAAACTTGATTTCACGGTTCCACGGTTGGGTCATTTTAAGGTTGTACCTTCTTGACTGGATGAGAACTAGAGTTTAGTACTTGAACAACGCAATTAATTCCGTCCAGCAAGGGAGTTACGTGCCTGGCGTCACCCCCTCTTTCTCATCGCCCATGCAGGAGGGAAGTCAAACACACCCTCGCAGGCCAATTAACGTGCCGTCGTTCCCGGAAAAGATACCAAGGAGATATCAAAGCCTGAGTCATACGGAAGGCTGTGAAGTGAGGCAGGCAAAATTGTTGTGTGACCTCGGACCCTCTGGCCAGAAGTACCGGGATTCTCCTTCTGCCGTATTTCCCCCTTCAAAGGGTCTATCTAGGCATTCCAAGGCTTTCTCTCAAGTTGTACGTGGGAACAGATCGCGTACCGTACGAAAAATCCCAGGGAAGTATACTTTTCAGCCATCTAAGTTGTCGATTAATATTTCAACCTTTTGTCAGTGTTAGCCTAAAGCCGACAGTGGATCCTTGAAATAGGATGACTCTCACTAAAAGAAAAAGTAAGCAAAAACCTAAATAATACGTCTGCTAATGCCGATAGCCGATATTATAATATTCCTAAGGGTAATGAGAACGACGCATATTTCTGAGTACAACTAAGAGGTCAGCTTTGACGAGAAGTGAGGCGTGGAAAACTGGTGCCGTACGATAGCAGTTATCTAGACTGTACATAGATGGCGCCAGTGCACTCTCAACTCAGATTGACCATAGCAGGATTAAATGTCAACAGTTTTGCGAGATAAAAACGAATTCTAACAGAGGAAATTCAGCCCTTTTGAATGATACATCTCAAAGGAATTCGGGTTCAAAATTAATATGAAAGGTCATCCTGATCGGGTCAAAGGTCAACTCAGAAAAAAATATCTAAAATGAATTGGACCATTTGCAGATCACAAATCGTATGAGGTATCGATGGTGGAAATCGGTTATGAAACTTAGGAGAAGTTCAACCGACAAAATCCGGTCATAGAAACATCAGCCATTCGTTATATGGTAGATGCCGAATTCTCTCGAATAAAATAAGGACAAACAAGAAACGGGATTGCAAGGTGAGGGCTCCCCGCATCATGAAAGTCCAGCTTTCGTCACTCCTATGAATTCCATTTCGCAGGTTCGAGGCTTCTCGAGGTCTCACGGTGACATTTTGCAAATGCAAAACAAGACTTTTTTTGTGCGCTGTTCGTGGGATGAGGTGAGATTGAAACAGTGATGGGCGATGGTGGAGGGATGTAGCGGGATTTGGGCATGTATTGCACGAACGACTCTGAATGAAGAGGATGGAGTCCAACATGCATTTGAATTTAGGAGGCAGTTTTTCCACGAATATCCGAGTCGAGATGGTGAAAGAAGCTCCTAATACCCCAGACGTTATACGTCCTCACCGTGATGCCTCGAATACCCCAAGAGAGGCATATGAGGCATATTATAGGCATATGAGAAGTTCTCTGGATAAAGGGCGATTGAAGCGACTTGTCATAGGATAGGGTTAATTAATAAAGCAGGGAGTTAAAGTGTGTTCTTCAGTGAAGTAGAAGCAGACTTTCCTATGCCTTCAATACGAAGCAGGCCAACTTCCTGACAAAGTCAATATGGCTGCCTCCATGAATATTCTATTAGCACCTGTATTGCTGAAAGATTTTGGTGGAATAATTCAACTCTTTCGAACTGAAAGTGAGAATGAGGAAGAAGCCAGACAGGAAGATAAGGGAAATAAGTGGGGGAGTCATCCAAGTCTCTGGAAGGATGGGAGAGGTTGGCGAAATCCATGAAACAGTTAGATATCCAGATGATGAATACATTATTAATAGATTACTGATGAGTATTTGGTGAATGAAACTTATTCGGAATATTCACCCTCTTATTGCCATTCTTTGAGGAAGAGTTTATTTGAAATCTGCAGATGTATTTCGTGGTAAATGATGATGACATTTAACTGGAAAGAAGTGGTGAAAGACTGGTTGAAATAAGTTCCAGCAACGTGGATATGGAAAAAGGGAGTATGTGCAAGACTTTCTGTCTGCAACATAGCAATGTGCGATTGAAAATTTTCGTTAAAACCCCAAGTTCAGTTGGAAAAAGTTGTAAGATTCCATTTGACTGAAAACTCAGTTTTGACCAGCTGCAGATTAGTTAGTTGGAGAAAGTTTTTGCCATTTTCTCGAATTGAATCATTTGCACATAGGCCCTTTTCCCAGAGAACTGGAATTAATCTCTTACTTGCTGCTAATGATATAATTTTCCAATGAAGCAGATGAAGTGATGAAGGAATGAAGTGGAATGTCCGTGGCTTATTGCGGGGTATGGGCTGGCTTTCCAATTGCTATATACAGGGTGGCCCATAAGTAATGTGTCACTTTTGGATGGCCAATAGGTATGAAACGGTGAGACAGAGCGTGATGCGGTGACGTGTTCAATTCAATTGAATTTTTCATTCCTCAATTTCAGAGTAAGGAAGAGTACGGAACAACAGGGCTGAAAAGTCATGACTGGTGTTCGGTTGAAAAGCGAGTGCGCTGTGTGCGACTGTTCTCAATCAGTGGCAATGCAACAGAAGTGCAACGCCGAACGAGGGGGGAATACGGGGATCCTGCACCCAGCCGTCAGACAATCACACGTCTGAATACGACATTTAACCAAACCGGGACCGTCTTGGACGCTAAACGCCCAGGAAGACCCAGAAGTGGCCGCACGGATGAGAACATCACCAGCGTCCAGGCTGAGCTGGCCAGTTCTCCAGAAAAATCCAAGTCAACGCACCGATTGTCGGCCAATTTAGGAATCAAAAGGAGTACGATGCAGAGGATCTTAGCAGATATGAAGTTACGCCCATCCCATACCACCCACGGCTAATCCATGCTCTAACAAACGATGATCCTGACCGGAGGGTAGAATTTGCAGAGATATGGCTGGAGCGCTTGCAGGACGATCAGGACCTGGAAAGAAAGGTTGTCTGGACGGACGAAGCAATGTTCCACGTGTCAGGAAGTGTGAATCGTCATAACTGTGTGTACTGGCGGAGCGACAATCCACACGTTACAATCGCATATGATCATCAAAGCCCTGGCATTATGGTTTGGGGCGGGGTAACGTACGATGGTGTCATCGGCCCCTTTTTCTTTGACGGTGGTATCAATGGCGAGTCCTACCTGGAACTTATACGGGATACTGTGTACCCACTCCTGCAAGCTCGTGGGGATGTCGAGGAGTCATGGTGGCAACAGGATGGTGCACCCCCTCATTATGCCCGGATTGTTCGTGCGTGGTTGGATAATGTTTTCCCTGACCGTTGGATAGGGCGTCAGGGCACAGTGGAATGGTCCGCACGCTCCCCTGATTTGACGGCCCCCGACTTTTTCTTGTGGGGCTATCTGAAAGATAAAGTGTACGCACATTCCCTGCACAACGTTGCGGAACTTCGGGATGCCATTACTGTGGAATTTAATGCCATTCCTCCAGCGTTCTGTCGTGAGGCCAGCAAAAATGTATCTCTCCGCCTACAGGCCTTGATGGCCAACAGGTCGACCATAACTTGGAGAACCGTGCATAGACATGTCCTTTATGATTCTGTTACACGTTGTTATATGTATATATGTATCACTGTTCCATAGATATCTGTATTACAAAAGTGACACATTACTTATGGGCCACCCTGTAGTTGAACCGATGAACGTCAAACCGAACTTACACGGCCACGAGACGGCTTCTACCAACTGCAAGTCGACCATCTGCCAGCGATGCTTCATCTATGGCTTATGTACGTGTCAAACGGAAACCACTGATTTCCCGCTCGAAAGATGTGGACTGGGAAGAGGCGAGACGGATCGGAAAAGGGGAAGGAGGAGAGTACGCCAACGAGGAGAGGAGGAGTGACGAGAGGACCAGTAAGCACCTGGCGATGGAGTGAGGGGGCAGTTTTACGATGCGTGGGTGCCGTCATCCCAGGGATGTTCGATTTCAGGCGTTTCTTACCTTCGGCAACTTCTAGAGCACTCACGGAGAATAAGTGGGTGGGGGGGGGAGGGGCCCGTCGTCCAATTGTTCGGGGCCACGAGAGATTTCCCTTTCTTTCATTCAGGCATGTACGAGGTGTATGACTCAGCTCAAATTTCAAAGAAATAGAATCCATGAAGAACACAATGGTCTCTATTGGTAAAGAAATGAGGTAATTGGCACTTAATGAATGATAAATATCCAGCCACCTGCCCAAATACTGTTTTGACATCCGTGCCGTTGAGAGTGACAGGATTGGAGGGGAAATCTCCATCGCACCAAGTGATTTATGGGATTACCCCTTTTCTAAAGCCTCGACGCATGAAAGCATGCGCCGGACCTCACAATGAATGGGAACGACCTTGTCCTTGAACGCCCACCTCGCGGCGGCCCTTCCTCGAGCACAAGCTTCCAATGGAAACGCTCTCCGACCGTGAAAGGACGAAGGAGGAAGAATCGAGAAGGTCTCGGGACCGAGTCCCTCCGAGTGCTTTTCTCTCTCTCCCTCTCGAAAGGTGCTTTTCTCTTCGACGAGATTATTCTCCTTTTGCAGTCGCGAAATGTGAACATCTCCTTAAGAGTACATCTGCTTTCCCTTAATCCGGCCTGAAATGAGTGTGATGCGGTGACGAGTGCCTATGCTCAGGATACGACGTGAAGATAAGCGTTCGTTTCCCGGTCGCCTAAAACCGAACCGGTTTTTCTTGCCGATCCAAATCGCTTATCTGGGTTTGTGTGTTCCTTTCCTGCTCAAATCGATCATGTTTGTGTTCACTTTTAGAATTATTTTGAATTGTCTCCTCAGAAACGACATCACATTCAAATATGTCATAGCGTTCCTATCATGTTCCTTGGTGTCAGATGAAGTCTTACAATGAACAAATCCGTCAAATAAAATCTGGCACAGTGATACTCGCTCCCCGATAGCGAATGAGGATATATATTAATATCTCTCTGCCCATAGACATGTTGATTCATGCTGGGGTTGGTACATTGAAAAATGTCTTAGCTACAGTAATTCCATCTCTTTCTTAACAGGGGCTGTAGCCCGTGAAATTGACCATGAAAAGTGGATCCTGGACCTTCCTCTGCGTTTCCATTCTCTCACTCACTCCCCGGACGACAGGACGCGAACTCTGTCCAAATGAAGTGGACTTACGGCCCTGCACATGCTTCAGCAATTCAGACGGCGATTCGACGGTGGATTGCTCGGACGTCGCGACGAGCGGGGAGATCTGGTCGGTCTTCAATAGGGCCACCTGGCCCTCCAGTCGACTCCAGTGAGTTTCGGATATTAAGCATCGACTCCCTTCTTTGTTCGGCAGCGCTTATTCCACTCAACGTTCGTTAGGAACACGGAATTTCAATTGCACTTCATAGTCATGCTTTCGGGGCTGGTCGGTCGGGGGAAAGTCGGAATTGCTGTGGGGATAGGTCGGACAATTCACTTCGTTTTTCCGGCCTTCCGATGTGAATTAACCTTTTTTATACGGCACTAATACCATCTTTTTCCATTTTATTTCGACTCTCTATCGAGGGAAAGGAAAACATAACCAATAGGATCCGTAGCACCAACGCTTCGACCAGTCCTCATCGAGAAATTTACATTCAGCCCTTTTTACGACTCAATTACTGTAGGTCCGCTGGACTCCCAAGAATGCAGTAAAACTTGCGGAGTACTTGCGGAATTAATATTGTGGTCATTCTGAAAATACGGATAAATAAATTTAATAAAAAATTCATTTTCTCAGAAAATGCAAATGAAAGATGAAATGCAAAAATAAAAAATACATTCAATATATACTTCAAAAACGAATCGGCAGGTCCTCCCCATCACCTCTATCGTATTGGTGACCATTTCCATTGGCCATTTCCCTTCCCTCTCCTTGCAGGCAATTCTTCCTGTCCGTCAACACCAAGTTGAAGGATCTTCCCGACGGGGCATTCGGAAACATCTCCTTCGCTTCGATGGATCTGACCCTCACCAACCTCAAGACGATCGCCCCCTCGGCCCTCCTGCCCTCCCGGGACCGACTCGTCCAGCTGGCCGTCGTGCACAGCAGCCTCGAGGAGTTTCCCTTCGCGCTTCTTCCGCGAATGCAGCGTCTCCGGATTCTCCATCTCTCGCACAATTTATTGACCTCGGTCCCGCCCCTTCAAAGTCAGAGCCTCCAGGAACTTCGTCTTTTGAATAATCATATATTGAAAGTGGAGGAAAGCGGATGGGCCACTCCAAACTTGAAAGTATTAGATATCGGTAAGTGTACAGGTGCGTTATACACCTACAAAGTTTCTGATGAACTCCAATTTTTGGTATCACATGACGTAATCGTTAAAGAATTAACAGAGAGACATGCATCTTAAACGTTACCTTTATCCTGGAATGCACTGCACAACAGCCTTTCAGATCATTTCAACAAACATCTGCTTCTGCTGGAACAAACATTTCCAATATCAATTTAATCCTGTGGAAATTGGACGTGCCTCTTTTTTTCGATGCTATGAGTTCAGTCGAATGATAAGAGGAACTGTCCCATTCTAATCGGAAGAGTCTATTTCCCGCGTCTGATACAGGCAGGAATCCCCTGTCGAGATTCCCTTCGGGAATCCTGAATGGCCTGGAGAAACTGGAGGAATTCTCGTGCAGCGAATGCCATCTGGGTCCGACCCTTTCCAGAGGGCTGCTGGATTTCCGCAGCAGGGCCTTGAGGGTGGTGCATCTCGATGGAAACAATATCTCGAGACTGGAACCAGGAGCGATCACAGGTACGATCCCTCTTCCGTGTCTGTACGTATATTCGCTTCTTTTCCGTCGAGAAAGTCTGTTGGGGTTGAATCTGCGAGCAAAGATCCTCACAGAGTCTCCGAGTTTTGCAGAACTCTTCTCGAAGGTCGTGATAACAGGGAAACATCGTGAGCTGTAACTTTGCGGTTTTGCGTATCCGTGAGACACGAAAAAGTCTTATTTTATCATTGTCGCATTTTCATTTTGCTGACGGCTTGAACGTTTTCCTGATGTGAGTTATGCTCTCTTCTCTTGGACTGTTCTTCCTCTTTAGCAGTACAGGCTTCATTTGTTCCCTTTGCCATGTCCAATATCACGCTTCCTCACATCTGCGAAGGAACACAATATAATATAGAATTTCGGCGAATTTCCCCGCCCCCCCCCCATGCCCACACCCACAATTCCAGCACCGTCATATCAACGGAGCGGTTGACAGGGAGTGTCAGCCACTGCGACGGATAACGCCTCGCAGTCTCACGTTGCCGTGAAATTGCTCCCTCACTACCTTGTATGACTCGTCCACCAAGTGCTTACAATCGCTGATATTCCTTAGTTTCATTAGTGAAGGAAGCACGTAGTTTTTTCTCCAATCACTAGATCGAAAGCGCCTAAGAGGCACGCAGTAGAATGGATCGGAAATGAGGCCCTCCCATTAGAAAATTCCCTTAGGAATTCGACTGGACGCTGATGTAATTCTGTAGAGTGCAAATTGGATTTTTACCAGAATCCTAAGGAATTCCCATGAGAATTTCAAGCGCAAGTTCCCTAAAATGAATAGCCGTTTAGTTAGGGGGAATTGAGACTTCTTGGATTAATGCCGTCATGGTCGGGAGCAAATATTCCTTCTCTCTCTCTCAGCTTCCCTGTGACGTCTCCCTTTCAAACGGGGCTTACCTGTATAAATGCTCTCAAGACAAGAGCAGTTAGGAATCGGTTTTGCAGGGTTAGGTCGATGCAACCGATTAATCTGATTCAGAGTTGCAGAGGTGTCCCATGATTAATAAACGTGGAAAGGCTTCATGCGTCCGGTGGGATTGCAATGTGACTTCGTACCCGTTATTAGCTTCCTATGCCTACATTTTCGATTCGATCAGTGGAGATGACGGTGGGAACATTTGTTCGGATGCAGCAACGTGAAGACCAATGAATGCAATTTAAAATGCAAGAAAAAAATCCCCACTTGTTGGTGATACTTGGTTGGCTCGTGTCCCATCTCAAATATATCCATCGTTTCATTCCTTTCAAATTTTCAAAATTAACAAGGAAAGGTCGGGGTGAGGGGGGAGAGGGAGCGATAATTAATTAGATAAAATGTATGATATTCTAATGACTTATTTTTATCGAATTATCGACGATCGATAACCAGTAAAAACCAAACTCAAGTGAAGTTTCGATGCTTCGAGTGAATGGATGAGATAATTTCGTCTCTCTCGTTTCAGGCCTGCAACCTAATACGAGTGTTTACCTACGAGGCATGGAGAATTTGGCCTTGTCCGAGGACAGCTTCCGCCCCATGCTGGAGGTTCTTACGGTGGGAAATGGGGTCCTTATACTCGGGAGTGAGTTTCATGCTTTTATTTCATATGAGCTCGCAAATTCGACTCTTTTTTCGACATTACGTATTCCACTCTTCGGCCTTCCGGCATTCCAGGGAAATTATTCGGTTGCGATTGCGACATTGCTTGGCTGGTGGCCGATCGGACGTTCCTGAGGAGCATCGATGGAGGCTGCTCGAGTGGAAAGGAGTTGAAAGACTTGGAGTCGGATTCCATGAAAAACTGTCCTCGACCTTGTCCTTATTTGTGCGTCGGTCGCACATTCATGTCCCTCTGCACACCAGGGACAGCAATTCTATCGAAAGTGGATGACTGTCGATCTAATGAGGTGTGTTGTCATATAAACACAGAAGAAAGCACTACGACGACAAGGACGACAGGTCCATCGAAAGTCGAGTGTCCCGTCGGTTTTTCGTGCGAAGATGTGGAGTCGGTGACCTCATCCCATCGGTGCAACTCGTCGTTCGCCTGTCCTTCGGCGACGCAAGCCTGCTGTCGGATCCAGGAGGAATCGTGCCCGCCCACCCATTCTTGTATTCAACGTTCCGCGGGAGGACTTTGCGAACCGGGAACTCAGATTTCGAACGCGGCATGCGCATTAAATCGATCATGTTGCATCTTGAAGACGGACTCTCAGATCCCTCCCTCTTTCCCACCTTGCAATCACGAATGTGTCTCGCTGACAAACGTACATTCCTGTGTGCCGGGGACAGTCAAGTTCGAAACAGAATGCAGGCAGACGGGAGAATATTGCTGTCAGGTGGAGACCGAATCAAAAGAAAGAGCATCAGGACCCTCACTACCCTCCAATCCCGACCCGAAAACAGAGCGCACCCCGTGCAGCCCAACGATCGGTTTCTGCTTGAGTAGTCGACACTCATATTACTGCGCAGCTGAAAATGAATGGGAATTGACGGATCTTTATTGGTGCTCTGGAGACCTTCTTTGCTGCGCTTCGAAGAGTGCCGTGGAGAAAAGGAAAATGGAGCTGCTCTCCAACAAAAGTATGTTTAGATGAAGCTATTCTGTGATTGGAGTGTATTCGGATACCCTGTGTATTCGGATACCGTGAATCACAGAATCAGCTCTGTCCATATCTGAATTTCGCTTTCCAATTACCCAGCGTTTGACAAGCTGTGTCACATCTTGTTGGAATGGGAGGATTGCGTTGTAGTTAAATGACGCAGTCTAGCATAATTTCCTGCTCCTCCATTCAAGCGATTTTTGATGTTGCAGGATGTAAGAAAGAACCAAAAGAGGTGGCCAATGGATCACATGCTTCCTCATGAGAAAAACTGAGTCTCGCATGTCCTTTTTTAATGATCATTTCTGGCTTAAACCATAAAGTAGCTAGACGTTAGTACTGGCCTTCTCGGTCGACCCACAATACGACATGCAGGAAATTATCAAAGGCGAAGATAATCTACGAATCCAGAAAACTGTGGAGCGTAGCCGCTTGAATAGGTTGAATATCACCACTGCACCAGCAGATCTAGAGTTAGATCGCTATACCTAACTTCGACTAATTTAAGGAAGTACCATAATGGGGTTCTGGGGCAGAAGGTCGAAAATTTTTCGTTGAATCGCAAGAATGTCGACGGCATAAAATGCCGAAAGGCAGAATGGGAGAGGGTAGGAAATGTCCAATTATGACATGGTGGAACGTAGATGTCGAAAGAACTAGAAAGTCGAAAAATGTCGGAAAACGTCGAATGTGCTTGTCTAGGGTTAAGTCATTTTTTTTCTAAATACAGTTAGCCCTTGTCTTTTGTTTAGTTCATGCCTTCATAGACTGTATGCTTTGCCTTCTCAAATTGGAACGTCTATCTTCAGAGATAAGCGATCATTCCAGTTATTGTTAATGACCTTGAAAGGGATTCGAACCATATTCGCCCATGAACTAGCAGTCAGTCTCGTTCCTTTCCTTATCATCACTCCCTCGGCCTTTGCCTTTCTCTTACGGAAATAAAAAGGGGTGACAGAAAATGCGAACAGATCCGGCAGACATTAGTCACTCTAGCAACTGAGGCTGGCAGTACAATTATGGAGTGAAAGAGAGTTATTCCGCGTTCGAGTCACGGAGCTTATCCCTTCGACTTATAGTACAGCCGTTCGACTCAAGTTGCAGCACGTATGATGATGGCATGTCACATTTCGAGGGGTCATGCTCTCCCACTTTCCGTCACTTAAGATTTATTCATACCATATGTTGACCCTTGAAAAGAGGTAGTTTTAGAGGGGCGAAATAAAATGGTCGTCCCCAGGGCTGGCCGCTATGGGCTGAGAGAATCGCCGACTGATACTTTGACGGAAAAATAGTTCGAGTTTCGTTGTTTTCCCCTACCTTCGTTCTTGTTATCTAAAGAGTAAAACTTAAACTGCGGTACAACAGAGGGACCCATAGTCACGGATGGGAGCATTGGGACAACTCTGTCCAAGCCTCCATGGTATCGAATTGCAGGATTCGATTTGCGGGTTCCACGGACGCCATTTTTACTCCACCGCTTTGCTTTGCTGAGCACAGATGCAATCCAGCAATTGAGGAAGGTCAACATAACCATCTTAGTTTTGGAAATGAACAAGAAAAATTTTACTGATGAGGAAGGTGGCACAGCAAAGTATGTTGCCAAGAGTTACCTCTGTAAGTTGCAAACATTCAGAAATATTTTTTACTGTGGCAAAAATGTTACAGAAGTTCAGCTGAAATGATATGAGGGGCGTTCAAAAAATAAGTGGACAATAATGAAAATGTGTTTGAAACTTTGGTTTAATTAAAAGAAATCTCCATTTCAGAAATGGAGATGAATGATAAGTGCCTTAACAGAATCTGTTAAGGCACTTATCCCAGCGTTTTACTCGCGAGCTGATACCATTCTCATAGAAAGATGATGGTTGCTGCTGAAAGAAAGTTTTGACCATGTCCTTCACGTCTTCGTCCGGGTGGGACCGTTGACCTTTCAGTGCCTTTTTTAATGATCCCAAGATGTGAAAGTCGCATGGGAATGAGTCAGGACTGTATGGAGGGTGGTCCAATACCTCCCATTGCCACTTGTGTAGGATGTCCTGTGTTTGTGGGCTGTATGGGGGCGGACATCGTCATGCAACAAGGCAACAAACAAACATGCGAAACATTGGTAAGTTTATGCGATGTAATGAAGTCCAAGCGTCCTGGCTTTTTGACCAAAACGGTTACCTTTTTTTATTTGGTATACCTGCAGTTCTTGGGATACATATTTTAGGAATTATTATTTTTTAAGGTGAATTCCCTCAGGGATCTTATACTTTTTAAGCATAGGTATTCCCAAATATTTTGCTTTCACGAAACAGAGAGATAGAAACTGAAATGTAAGCACAAAGGCTACCCTATGGCTACCCAAAAAAAAAGTGTCAGGGGGATTCCATATCCGAGAATTTTGGTCGGGAACAGACTAAAGTCATCTCTTCTTGGAGCAACTTTCGCTGTTCGTGTCCTCATGCTCCGACGTTTTACCAAAGGGAGGTAACTTATGCCTGGATAATAGCTTGCCTCATAACGGGGGCAGGCACAATGAAATGTATTCAATAGATGTTAAGTGCCACTTCCACGTTCACGTTTGAAGAGTAAATAGAGAGGAGAAAGCATGGAAGTACAAGTAATCCCCCGCTAAGCGCTAAGGATGCGTTTCTGAAAAGAAACTGAAGCTAACTAAAGCAGCGCTAAAACCGATCGTTATAACATTGCGTATATGGCGATGCGAATCGAGCTGTGAATATTCTGACTCATGTTTGACTTGTATTTTGGATTTTCCCGCGTTTTTTGGTTTTCAGAAAAAACGGTTCTCTCCAAGACCAAGAGCGCTAAAACAAAAAAGCGCGATACGGGGTAACGCTAAGAGGGGTATTAATGTATCGTGACCTCTGTGTTTCAGGAGGTGACGAGAGAGGATGCAGAGAACCTCCTGTCGTAGAAAACGGTTTCAGAATTGTATACTGCCCCGAGAAAAACAAGAGGTAAGAGACTAATAATGATTGTAATAATACAAATTCCTATATTTACGCGAAACGTATGCCTACAAACATTGATGACTTGACTTCAGTTGAAGAAGTTGGACTTTTGTATGCTGACTTTTTGAGTGTCAGTCATAGCAGTCGAATTCAAGAGGTCAATGGCGAAAAGAAGGCAGAATGCATAGAAAATGGGATATATGCTTCTGGAAGCACTGTGACGTACACCTGCAGACAGTATTATGTTCCCCGAGGAAAAAATTTTCGGATTTGCAGGAGAAATGGGCAGTGGACGGGACAGCCTCCTATTTGCGAGCCTGGTCAGTTGACAAAGTCATGTTCCAAAGCTCCATCCATCGCGAAAATCTGAAATTATCACTTGGGTAGTGTCCCTGTTAGAGCAACTTTCGCAGTTCATGCCTTTATGCTCCTGCGTTTCACCAAAGGGAGGTCACTAATGCCTAGATATTAGATTGCCACATAACGGGGGTGGGCACAATGAAATGTCTCCTTTTGCTAGAATGATCAGTTGCCACATCCATGTTCCAAAGCTCCATCTATCACGTTTCAGGATTAACTTTTCAGAAAGGTTTTGTATCTGTTCAAATTCCAGAATGTGGCAGGAGGGAGGAACCGATACGGCTGAAAAGGTCAATTGGGGGAACTCCGTCTATTATAGGAGGGTGGCCATGGCAGGCTGCCATTTATGATGTCAAACGAGGAGATATCATTTGTGGTGGGGCTCTCATTCACGAGGAGTGGGTCCTTACCGCGGCTCTTTGCCTTACAATTGATGGTACCTCAAGAGCTCGGAACAAAGATGATTTAATCATTTACCTCGGAAAACACTATCGGATTAATTCCCTGGATGATGAATTCGTGCAACAAAAACAGGTCATTCATAAGTTTTCACGCATACTTCCCAACAATTTACTTGAGCATAATATGAAAAAAATTACATGGTCTGCTTTCAGGTGTCCAGTATCATCCTGCACGAAGACTCCAGCGTCTTGAATTATGACTCGGACATTGCCCTGATAAGACTGACTAAGCCGGCAATTTTAACCGACCGAGTGCAGATAGTATGTCTCCCAACTGGATTTGATCTGTTGCAGCAAAACCTCGAAAATGGAAAGCAAGGATGGGTAAGACATGGAGTTTCTTGTTCGTGCTTTCACCTTCCTAGTGGCTTCTAATTTATTATGTAATTTGATTTCAGGTTGCTGGTTGGGGTGTTAATGAATATAATATCCTCAGTGAGGAGCTGACGGATGTGGAGATCCCAGTGTTATCCAATCGAAAATGCATTCAGGACACCGTTCATTTTACAGGCGACCCAATGATGACAATAACCCTCACGTCGAACATGTTTTGTGCAGGGTACGACAAGGAAACTTCTCTTGAAGGTGAGGCACGAATGCGGCGAAACGTTTTCATTGCAATTGTTCGTTTACTCTCTTTCTTAAGACATCCAATTCCAAATATTTGATTCCAATGATTTCCTCGATTAATTCCTAGTAACCGATAACCTCTTTTCCTGTCCGATTCAATAGGGCCATGATAATTTATTTCTAGTGAGTTTCACTTCAAATGAGACAATATAAGCACAACATATTTTTAAGGGTTGCGTTGAGGTTGAGCTCATGTGATCTGCAGACGTTGGTGAAATGTTGACAGGAATTAAATGTGGACTTTCTTTTACGTGCTGCTTCCCATGATTTAGCCGACGTCAGCTTAGTGGTGGATTGTAGAGTAGCAATGGCTATTTGGATAGCATTGAAAAAAATACTCATTGAAGAGGAAGCTTTTATTATTGGGACTCTTCGCGAAGGGTAAACGGATATGTTGCTAAATTTCGCGTCCAAGAATGAAATTTACATGATCTAGAGACCGCTGTTGCTACATGCAGCAACTATAGTCCTTCTAAATGCCTGCGCAATCGCCCTCTGCAAGCAAGAATGGCAGCCATATCTTTCAGCACATCTAAGTACGCTACGTGAAATCCATGATTATGCAGGTGGTGAACTAAAGTCAAGCAACTACTTATGAATCATTGAATCTCGTCTTAGAGGCAAGGAATTCGTTTGTATCACTTGAGGTTGAAGAAATATATTACTTTAAAGAATTTCGGTACACCATTTGCAAATTTCCAGCAAAAATAACGTGTTACCAAGGCGGCATTTCGATCTCAACCTATCAGTATAATCTCTATTCACTTGCCATTATGAACATTTTATTTTTTTATAATGGTTTATTCGAATGGAGATCATTTCAAGCATTCCATTTAATACGGACTGTCTGTCATTAGAATTGAAACACCAAGAAGTTGAGCGACAATGACGACATATGGTTTGAAAAAAAGAAAATTCATCGCGGTATATCGAGGAACATGTTGAGCGTTCAAGGGCAAATCATGATTCTTCCCAAAGATAACTCTCCAAATGTAATATTTTAACATGCGTGACAATCTCAAAAAATCATTCAAAAGATGCATCCAGAAAGAGTATTTCTTTGAAATGTGAAAAAGGAACTTTCAATGTTGTATGTTGAATGATGATGTGAATGACATGACGTAGTTTCAAAGTCAAATAAGAAAGCTATACAATCCTAATGACTCAAAGTGTAATTCACGTCCACTGATGAGTGGCATGAATGGTGAGGATAGCAGTACCATTTCTTGAATTCAGAATGATGCTTTTTTCATGTTCTGACTGAGGATTCACTATGTACACATTCATCAATGTTATCAGACTTCCTACGTAGATTACAAAACGGTGTGCCCCGGGGATGCGGGTAGTCCAATGGTGTTTTTCTCGGAGAGACGCTGGCATGTAGAAGGAATCGTGAGCCACTATTTTCAAAAAGGGAATTCAAAAGAGCCATGCTCAATGAGACGCCCAGGCCAGTATGCCATTTTCACCCAAGTCAATCGGTGAGACTAAAACTCTTTTTTTCGCTTTCTTCTGCAGCACCACAGTTCTCGATCATTGATTGATCCTTGCGAAAACTCCACATCCACAGGTTCATCTCTTGGATTGAGTCGAAGATGAAGAAAGCATCATGAATCCCCTCGCATCTATCACTTACCCCTATCTTTTACTCTGGATCAGTGATTGAGCAAAGTTGATGAATCGGTTTGGAAATTGCGAGATATTGTTCATCATCTTGGCATAGTTCGGAGTCCAACGTTTCGCTCCTTTTGACGCACATTTACAGAGTACTTTCCCATCCAATTCACGGGGAAAGTGAATATTCGCCAATATTTTTAATCCCTGCGATAGGTATTCACTAACATTGTGAGCAAAGTGCTAGAAAATCATGTCATGAGTAGACTTTCTTGTAACTCGATGTTAATGAATGTTTTCTTTCTTTCATTCTAACCCAAACTGTTGAAACTATTGTGGAATATAACATTTTTGCTAGATGACTTTGAATTCCGATTTTTTCAGATGATCCATGGAAATTATTACGAGCGAGTGCGTTTCCCTTTGGACTAAAACTTCCATTGGTATTCGAAGTAAAGTCGACTCCGCATGTCGAAGCAACACTGCCTCGATTCAGCTGTCCTCTCGGAATTAACATCCTTACATTGTTCACTGATTAGTGCAGACCTACATTGCCTCGCCGCTTCCGTTCTACCGGCATCTATATTATTTAGCTGCTGAACCCTTTCGCTGCGGCGCATGAATATACTCGAGGGCACTGTGCCGTGGAACCAGTGATTCCTATCGCCTATGGCATTGTAATAATGGTTTCTATATCTTGAATAAACATGCTGCTGAATGTAATTGTGTTTCACACAGGAAACTTCCAAATCCCCCTAGCATCACAACGTTTCACACCTATGATGTACAATGTATATGCGTAATTTTACCAGCCAGTGCTGGTATTTTCTAAGCTTTTTGTGGAATTTTTTTTCTGATGAATTATTCGATGTTCTTGCTCTCTTTATTGAATTGGCCTTGGTCTTTTCATACACATTTTTCCATTGAAGGAAATAACGTGGGTAAATTCCTAAGGTCTCGACATTCGAGGCTGCTGGATGCTCGAGCGTATATTTACGTTCCCCTCACCATATGCGTTACAGTACGTGAAATAAACAGAGACGGCGAGTGACAGCTAAAACTTTCGCAGTGAAAAAACTAATCCATCCTGAAAAGCCTTTAACCTGGAGAGGGAAAATGCTCGTAGGCCAAACGGCTCGAAATGAAAAGCCAGGCAGTTCTCAACAGGGCATTCCACATTCATAGGGTAGCGATCGTGCGAAAACGGCTGGAATGACGTTGGGCGTCCTAGCCAACGCAACTCGAGAATCGTTAAAGGGTCGACGCGTACACGCGCAGTTCTCCTCGCAACGTTAACAGTCTTATGTTGCTCTACAATTAAGGCAGCTCTCCTATCGGCATTAATATCTTCAAATTGCTCATCAGTCAGTACAGATCTACGCAGCCTCGGTGCTTCTAATAAGTGCCCGGATCACATATTATTAAGCTGTCTAACCCATACCACCCAACCAAGGTCCTCCAAGGCTTAAAGGCCTAACACTTGCATAGACGAATTACGAAGCCCGCTCTGCCATGGATTGGAAAAGGCTCAGGGGCCGATCGGCTACGAAGCCTATGATCTAGAAAAGCAAGGGCTTATAGGTCTATGGGCTATCTAGTCTACATCGTTGAGAGGGAAAAGCTCTATAGGTCAGAGGCTACACCTATTAATACCAATGAATCTCCTTAGTGTATTCTATTATGGATGGATGGATGGAATGGAAGGACGGATGGATGAAAAGCTCATGCGCGTTGAGTTACGAAAGAAAAAGGAATTTCTTAAGTCTGCTTGTCTCCGCTTGGCGAACACATCCCCCCATTTGGATCAGTGTTGCAAAATCGGAACATTCATGCCTTAAAAGTCATTATTCAGGAATTCTGTGAAACACGTGGATGCATTTTTGCAACAGATTCAACAATGAGAGTTTCTTTTCAAATAATAAATATTATTTTAAAGCCTAGGTTTTAACAGTTCTTCAGGATGTCATTCTCAAATGACGTGGACGTCCATGATATACTCCAAATATAAATGAATTCCGATACTCACCACGCATGATGAGTAGGGAAAATCGGGGGACTTCGACCACTGGTGAAACGAGGCCAAAAAAGTGCATTTCATTCGAGAATTCAATACGTTTCAAAGTAGTGAAGATCATATATTGCATGTATCAAGAGGGGAACAAAATTATCTCGCATATATCAGCATGGGTAGCCAAAACTGACTCCAAGTGTGCTTGAGATCTGATTTCTAAGGGAAAATACCAATTGAATTGATAATATCGATTGCCATTAAATAACAAATTGCATGCCATGGTTACAATTGAGCTGACTGCGGTGACAATTTAATTTTTCTATTACTTCAGAACAACAGCGTCATGAAGAAATTAATCATTAATTAATCGTTTTCAAATAGTTATTACAAACTGTGGTCGCTCCTTGCCCAATTCGGACACGAGATGAAAGAGACGATGGAAGGAAAATTGTTTGAAGGTTCTGAATTGAAGCAAACGGCCAAAGCCTCTCAGCATGGGGTTTCCTAAGTTGGAGTCTTTCCTTAGTCCAAGGTTGGAACTTGCGAGCATCCTAAGTCCCAGGAATTTTTCGGGTTGTCTTTTTTTGTACCGTAATTTTCATTTCCACCACTGATACTAGATTGTATTCTTCGATCAAGAGTGGAGACATTTACATGCTTTGCGATTGCCTGTCCAAAAGTGAGGGAAAATCCACTCTTTGAACATGGAAAGGGTAATTTCATTGTCTCTCTCAAATTTGCTTCGATTTTCCAAGTCGCTCTTTTTCGTCGTCAAGGGTTAGTCTTCAGTCTACGTGTAGGTTTTAACGAGTTAACAGCGCTCCGTTTTTCTTAGACGTTAAAAACAAGATGGAGGTGTCAGAGGAACACATTCGGCATATAATGCTTTATGAAAGGGAATAACGCGACTGCAGCCGCGAAAAACATTCAATATGTTTGGTGAGGAAGCCCTAAATGCGAGGAAATGCCAACGGTGGTTCCAAAAGTTCAGGTCTGGTGACTACAGCTTAGCCGATGAAGCGCGTTCAGGCCGACCTGTTGAGTTCGATGATGACCTGCAGATAGCCACACTTGAAGATTATCCTGCTAATGAGTCGATTCAAAAACGGCGCTTGAAGTTCACGAGAATGCTGTGAAGAGTAAATGATTTCCCGATCTCTAAGATTGTCTGGTGACAACACATGTGGAACCCACTCTCCAAGTTTTGACACTTTTCCCAGCCGTTGTTTCCCGTCGTTTCCTGTCCCGTCGTTTCCTAGCGGGAATGAACGGAGAAATGGATCGAATTGAGTTTCTGGCTTGAGTTTCAAGTTCTTCAACTGTTACAGCAGGATCTTCTTCAAATGTGGCTATCAGCAGGTGATCATGGAACTCAACAGGTCGGCCTGAAAGCGCTTCATCGGCTAAGCTGTAGTCGCCAGACCTGAATTTCTGGAGCCACCGTTGGCATTTCCTCGCATTTAGGGCTTCCTCACCAAACACATATTGAATGTTTTTCGTGGCTGCAGTCGCGTTATTCCCTTTCTTAAATTCATAAAGCATTATATGCCGAATGTGTTCCTCTGACACCTCCATCTTGTTTTTAACGTCTAAGAAAAAACGGAGCGCTTTTAACTCGTTAAAACCTACAAGTAGATTGAAGACTAACGTCTACACAAGGTAGCATAGAAATATTCCATGAGATGTGCACAGATACACGCATAAACAAGACACAAGTTTGGCAATGCGAAAAAACCGCATTACTTATGGGATGACCTGATACATCTCAGGGGACATCTTTCTGGGGAATTATTCAAATAAAACTTTTGCTGCTACGAAACAGGTGAATATATACAGCTGTAATTTGGCATCCTGTTAGTGCTCCAAATATTGATATCACGAACGTCTGTCACTTTTGAGATTTATCTCCTCTGGGCTAATTTCTTTGCTGAGAATATTCTTCCGAATACATTTTCGCTTCACCAAAACGAGGCAAGATAGAAAGTTGAAATTCAGTAGGCCTGTAGTTCTTGAGGCAATGATTTCAGAAAATGTATTATTCAATACAGCCACCTAGAGCGCTTCGCAATCGCTAAGATTGACTCGCATGCCTACGTGTTATGACCTACTTGATTGACTCATGCCCTACCAATAAGTCCCTCGGCTCTATTACTACGGGCATCAAGGTATACCTGGCTTCCTTGCGGTGCACACTGATATTTCATGTAAGACAGGCCAGTCGTCTCATGGCCTGCGGTAACTTACACGAAGCACGGTCGTAAGTCTGATTGCAACAAGCAGCTTTCAATGTTTCACGCAAGGCCTTGAACATGAAACAAGATGAAACATTGTTCGCTCCTACTTCCACATACTATGCCGTGTATGCCCAGTACTATCGTCGGGAATGCGCATTTTCACTCACCACTTGATGAACTATAGATTTCGCATGGAAAGGTGTATATATGAGCTTAAATTAGGAATTAGTAAGGAATTAGTTTATCTAAGTATTTCAAAATTAACCATGCTCAGGCGTCCTTCATGACTTAAAGTTATTTTATGGCTGAGTCAAGTTTTTTGGGAAAGTTCCTGAAAAAATGATGATATAGGAAAAAATTACAGGATGTCACTTAACTTATGTTGCCGATTTTGCCGAAACCACTCCACATCATACTCGAGTGAAGTTACAATGGTTCGAGCTAATGAATTAAATGCATTCTCGATGCCCATTCCAGGTCTGCAACCGAATACGATTGCTTACCTGCGACGGTTGGAGAACGTGTCCTTGTCCGAGAAGGTCTTCCGCCCCATGGTGGAGATTCTTTCCCAGGGAACTGGAGTTCTCGCGCTCGGGAGTCAGTTTCACGGTTTTATTTCGTGAGACCTCCCGAATCCCTTCGTTTTCCAACATTGCTCATTCCAACATCCAGGTAAATCCTTCCGTTGCGATTGCGATATCGCTTGGCTGTCGATCGATCGGACGTCGATGAGGAGCGTCGAAGGGGAATGTTCGAACGGAACCGAATTCAGAGACTTGGATTTGGATTCCGTGGAAAACCGTCCTCGCCCTTGTCCTTACGAGTGCGTCGGCAACCGACTCGTCTCCCTCTGCGCATCGGGGACGGCGATTCTCTCGAAAGTGGACGACTGTCGATCTCACGAGGTGTGTTGTCGACCGGACATACCAAAAGTCAATGCGATAACGACGACGACACTTCCATCGAAAATCGAGTGTCCCGTCGGTTTCTCATGCGAAGATGTACAGTCGGTGACCTCATTCCATCAGTGCAACTCGTCTTTCACATGTCCTTCGGCGAAGCAAATTTGTTGCCAGACCCAAGAAGACGAATGTCCGCCCACGCATTCCTGTATTCATAGTGCGGCTAAAGAACTGTGTGAACCGGGAACTGCGATATCAATCACGGCATGCGGTCATAATCGTTCATGTTGTATCCCGAAGACGGACTCTCAGACCATTCCGTCTCACATAACTTGCGATCACAATTGTGTATCGTTGCCGAACGTCCATGTCTGCGTTCCCGGGACCGTTAAGGACGGAACAGAATGCAAGCAGATGGAAGAATTTTGCTGTCAGTTGCTGGCAGAATCGAAAGAAAGTGGATCAGGACCCTCACCGCCCTTTAGTGAAGACCCAAATATTGGGCTCCCCCAATGCGACACTACGATCGGTCGCTGCTTGTCCGTTCACCTTCCAGGTAGATGCCGGAATGATGGTGAAAGGGAATTTACGGATCTTTTCCGGTGCTCTGGAGACCTTCGTTGCTGTGCTTCGAAGACGGCCGTCGAGGAAAGGAAACTGGAACTGCTCCCCATCGAATGTATGTTTCCACAAAGCTTTTTTTGCAATTGGGGCATTAATGAGTGCGGTGCAGGCCATTACCTTCCTTCATCCTCTTCCCGTTACATCCAACGGAAATTTAATCTCTTCCCATTCCTTTCTGAGAGCATATCGACGAAGACAAATATGGAATGCGCTTCTCTCTCTCAACACAGAATCGCTCCAATACATTATTGAAGCTTGAACTCCCCGAGGATCTTGCATTTTTAAGACTTAATTTCTCATTTTCACTCTCATTCTGTGTAGTTACTACCGAGGATGTATCCCCACCGAGAGTAAGATATTGATTTTTATATCCCGAAACGGGTCCTTTTCGTTGTTTCCTATGAAACCTACCATTTTGGTATTTAAAAAAAATTACCTGTCATTCAATTAAGCCTTGTCTGCAGGAGCGGTCCAATCTCTCAGGGTTGTCGGTTAACGTATAAGAGTTATGTCGGATTTATGACTGCTTCGCATTCCGTGTCGGTGCCTGAAACTCATTCCTTTAAGTAGATGACACATTTTTGTCTTGATTTCCTTGGTTTTAAACGAGATCGAAACGGCTGTTAGCACTGGCCGAGCGTGGTCCCAAGTAACACAGTATGCTGATGAAACGTTTCCGAAATGTTGCCTATGTTGCTCTATGTT